GTGGGGGGTCGTGGCCGCTGCGCCAGGTGCCTTGGTTTGCCCTGGGGGGTTCTCCTCCTCATCCCTCAACTCCGCCAGCACTGAGTACGGGTTCCCCTCGTCTGCTAGGTCCGATTCCGCCTGGGTCTGCTCCGCCTCCATTTCCATGTGCATTGTCTCCAATCCCAGGGCGGAGTGTGTGGGTGCAGTTGGTGGTGTTGGGGGTGGGGCGTCGGCAGCTATGGTGGCTCCAGGTGTTGGGTCGGCTGCCTGGTGTGGTGCTGCGACCACTGTCTCCTGCCTGGCCTCCTGAGGGTCGGGAATGGGGGTCTTCTTACCCCTCTTCTCCTGCCGCATCCACCCTGCGTCCCCGGGGGAACCCTCTGTGTTGTTCCCACGGGGTTGGGTGGCAGGTTTGCTGCCGCTGCCGCCACTGCCGTTGGGCTGGGGAGGAAGGGCTCTGCTGCTGCTGGGCCCTGGCTGCAAGTCTGGGCCACCTTTGCTCTGTGGGGGCGGTGGTGGCCGTGGTGCGGAGGTGGAACCTATCTCCACTGCAGCTGGTGTAGGGATTTGGGCTGCTACCGCAGCCTGTATCCCTGACACCTGCAGCTCCATCACTGGTTCCCGGGATCCCAGGTGGGTAACGGAGTGTATCGGGCCGCTGAATGCTGGCAGGGGCGGCATTGGCGATGGCCCTATGATGTTGTGCCTTGCCATCTCGGGGGTGTTAGTTCTCCCCGTGGCTGCTGTGGCGGTGGCCCCCCGCTGGGTTCTCGCGATGGCAGCCCATGTGCCATTTACTACCGTGCCAGCATTGCTTCGGCTGGGGCCTGACTCCGGAATCTGCGTCATTTTTGGCTGAGCTCCCGTGCGTGCTGGCGGTAAACAGCCAATTATAGCGGGGGCTGCCTCCAGCGCCAAGGGCACCTTGGTCGCGACCAGGGTCCCAGTGCAGTGGGTACTGTCCCCTGGCGTGCCATACGTATAGGGGAGCTCCACCGGGAGATTGAAGTTTCCCGCCGGTAGCTTCACTGCCCATTTGTCAGCCTGGAAGGGGCATTTGCAGGGAAAGCCGAATTCCTCCCTCTTCCATTGCCTCCCGCTGACCCTGCTGTACGCCATCGCGAGGAAGGCCGTAACTCCCTGGCGCGTTATGCCCAGCGGAAGTCCCGACACTTCCCACCGACGCGGCACTATCTTATCCAAGCCTTTAACCGTTAGTTCCACGTTTACCGGCTCCTGGCCGGGGTAGAACTCCACTCCGCCTAGCTGTAGGCGCCCCTCCCTGAGAAGCTCGCTGTTGGTGAGCCTTGCCAAGCTGCCCGGTGGCATCAGGACTGAGATCTCCATCGCAACGCGCTTATCCTTCATTGGAAAGATGCGCCGCTTCGTCACTGCGGGCCCTTCCAATGCCTCCAAGTCCGTTGATTTTGCCCATAATTTCAACTTAGAAATTATGTGCTCTACAAGTCGCCCATAGCTCTGAGCGTAGACATCTGAAATGTCGGAGCCCGGTGGCCAATGCGCGACCAATTCCCATGTCTCCGGACAGAGCACGAAGAGCCGTTCCGTCGGTGACGCGAGAATGTTAAGTTCGAGAGGAGTAAATTCCTCTCGTTTTACTTTCCTCTGGGTCGTTTGCGGCCTTGTGGCCGTTGCTGTCTTCCGACCAGTTTGAATTTTTGGTCGGTCAGCGGTCTTCGCCGCTCTAGTTTGCAACATTTGTTGCGTCGAATTTAATATGGCATTTAGACGTTGTAATCAAAATAGCCATAAAGATTGCGGACCGTGGTAGCGGTATTGGTCAGGGCTCTAGTCGCAGTATGGTGCGGCTAAGTTATGCCCATTTTGTATGGTGCGGCTAAGTATGTATGTATGTATGTATGTATGTATGTATGTATGTATGTATGTATGTATGTATGTATGTATGTATGTATGTATGTATGTATGTTTGCCTAGCTTACATACGCTTACAAGCAGGCGGTTAGGAACGTGGCGTCAAAACGCCACCTGGTAGGTTGCTGCCATCTGGCTCGCGCTCGCGCTGCTGTATTATCGCGCGTGGCTGGTCTTTCACTAGGCGTCCGCAGCGCGCAACGAGGGTGGTAACGGCGTGGGCGTGGGGACCAGAGCGTGAATGAGAGTTGAGTGTGAACGTGAGGCTGAGGGCGCATGGGGTCTGTGAGAATGAAAGGGCGATTAGTTGGGGGCCATTCACTCCGCCGGTGTCGCAGTTTTCTGTCTATTACTGTGAGACCAAAGAGGAATTTCCGTTTGGGGAAGGGGCTCGTATGCGCTAGCGTCGCGAAACGGTGGTTGCGTCTGGCTCGCGTGCTTTTTTTACTCCTCCTGCCATCTAAGACCGCTGGGGCGTGCGCATGGCAGCGTGTGTTTTAGGGCTTTTGGTTTGGACTTTGCTCTGGATTGATTGAGGCAACACGTGGCGTCGTCCGTTGCTGCTCCCCAGTCGCCGCTTCTTCCCTGCGCTGGCGCACGGAAGGGCAGGGCCACTAGGGAATGAAGGTGCTTGTACTGGCTGCTTGTACTGCCACTGCCGTACGTGCTCCAGCAAGCGAGATGATTGTTGAACTAGATTGTGCTTTTTATGGGGGCTGCGTTGAACGAATTATGGCTTATGGGCGGTAGTATTGCACGTTGTTGGGCCGTACCGTCAGGTATATATTACCTTGGCCGTCATGAAGCTGCTTATCTACCTCAATACTCATCTGCCCAGCGCTGTGATGGGGCCCTTAGGGATCCTATGCAGGAGCAGTCGTTAATGTCGGGTTAATGTTTTTGATCCTTTCGAAATGTGTATTGGCAGCACTTTGCAATTGCGTGCTACTACAGAAATTGGTGTGACGTGCTTGCACGTGGCGCAAGTGCACGTATTTTATTACTTACTGTCGTTGCGTTCTGCCTTCCTGTTGCATCCAGTTCAGGATGGGAAAAAGTGGATTGAAAACCTTTTCTGCTGTCGCTGTTGTTGTTGGTGGTGGTAGCGCTGCTGCCATTTTCCCGTTTCTGCTGCTGCTAAAGTTCGACGCAGTTGTCATGATGGCATAATTCCCGTGGTTTAAAAGCTCGCTTTTTATGATGTTGTTAAGCTGGTGCAGTTGGCCTATCCGTACAACAGCAGAGTCGTTACCACAGGGAGGCGGTTCATGCCATTTGGTTCATCACATCAGAAGCTTTATCAGAGCACCAGAGCTCTGCTCCGTTTCGGTTATGCAAAGCTGATGAGGTGTAAGATACACTCGCACATTCACACACACACATACATAAATACACACATAGCCACACTCATCGTAGCTTAGATCATAAACACACACACACACGCATCATGCGCATACGCAGGGAATTCTTGCCTTATCATCGTCTTCGTCGACGAGCCATCTCGCTACCCATCTTTCCACCCATCACAGCCTGGCAGCCGGATAAACCCATGCAATAAAACCTAAGCCCCCCCAAAAAGGGCGCGCCATCTGTAGAGTTCCCCCCACCCGCCAACAGTAGGCCTCCTTTCCGGAGCCTCTCCCCCTCTGGCTCTCCGCCCACTGCGCAACGACGCTGGAAGCACCCGTCACCATCACCACCCCGACAACAAATAAATTATGTCGGAATCTGTACGGAAAATTACGGAGGTTTACGGTTGGGGCTTTCAGCTGCGGGTTTTCCACATCCCCAGCAAAGGCCCGCAGGTGGCCAATATATGACTATAACATCTACAACCGACGGTATGTCCGACGTGAGATGATGTGGGCCATCTCTACATATACACATTCTGCCTTTTCTTCACTTCACTTCCAAAGTCCCTTCCCTCTCCCCAAAGCCATTTCGCCGTAATCGCTGTATCTCGTTCCGGATCCTGAGGTTCCGGTTCCTCCACAAAGAAGTCCGCTCCATTTCGGGGGAGGGGGTAATGTGGAGTACACGCGGTTCGCGCGCTCGACAACACCGTCGAAGGAGATGCGCGATGATAGTGTTTCCGGGTCCGGTCGCTTTTGCCTACCCCACCCAGTTCTTCACCACCTCACCTCACCTCACACCTCCAGAAAATGCACAGGATCTTCCGAATACGATACCGCTTTCCTCCTCTGTCCTCCGTCCTCCTGCTGCTGCTGCTCTCAGTGCGGCAGATCCGTTCGGAGGTTTTTTGGAAATGAGCGCGCTTCGGTTCCGGCAACCCCACCTTTCCTTTCACCGCACCTTTCCTGCCAGCATCCACCCGCACCACCTTAGCACCGGGGCGGCCTAGTGGCCGTCTAGGCGCTGCATGTAGGCGCGCATTCCCCACTTTGCCTCCCAATCCATATCACCGTTGTTGTGCTCCCCACCCCCCCAACCCCACCTCCAAGTTCCCCCCGAGCCTTCTGTCCGAGCCGAGCTCCCCAAACAGCCACCACCGCCAAAACCCGACACGCTTCCTCCTCCCACCACCAACACAACCACCTCTATTCACCGCCAAAGGTGAAGCAGCCGAAGGGGCTGGGGCCTTCAGGACCCAGAACGAGCCCGATTCAAGAAGAGCACGGCGAGAATGGAAAGTAAGGGAGCCCCTTCCAACTGCAAGGATCCACCGCAGCCAGCTACACACTACAGATTTAGCTCTAACTAGGCCTAGGCTTAAGCCGATTTGCAGTCAAGGCTAAGACAGACAGAAAGAAAGCGAACCAAGAAAAGAAAATACGTGTCTTCCCGAGGCTATATCTAACAACTCAACCAGGCCAGACCTCAACACAAATCCCCAAACTGAACAAAACGCGTAGCCGCGGCTCTCCTAATTTCAAGCTTTTCAGCATCGCCGAGCAGTCACCGTTACCGTCATCTTTACAGGCACACACACATACACACATAAATACATACATACGTACAGACCGACATACAGGCACATAATCCCATCTACGTCCGGATGGACCCAGCGCGCAAAGGAAACACAGGAACATATTCGAAAGCGCACGCGAGCACACATCATCCCGTCTCCCCCGGCAACTAGGTCACCACCAGCCCCTACTCCCCCCGGCCGACCCCGCCGCCTGCTGCTTCGCCACCCGCTGTTGGCCCACACTCGACTGAATCTTGTCAAGGATTGCCCCCGCATCAAAAAACTGTTCCTGCGCTCGCGCCCAGCCACCCAGCTCCTTGTCGACCTGGAGAAGTGCGGGGAAAGGAAGGAGGAAGGAGGGGAGATAGGACAGGACATACAGACATACAGACACATAAACAGATTTCAGGACGGGGGGATTACCGGGAGGGGGGGCATCTGGCGGATGTGCAAAAAACACATCTCCCTTCAGGCACACACACGTCTTTACCCCCCCCCCGATCAACCTCAACGGACCTCTCTACCCTTTACCCCGGCAAACTCTCACCTATCACCCGTATGTATGTATATGTATATATATGTATGAATGTATGTAAGGTATATATGTATGTATGCCCCCCCCGGACAGCAGCCTCACCTGCCACAGCTGAGCCGGCGGTAATCCCGTCTGCCGCGCCGCCACTTCCTTGCACGTGCGGGGGTTGATTCGGAAACCCAGCTTGGCGAACTCGGACTGTGCCGCGGGTGTGAAGAGGAAGCGGCAAAAGGTGGTAGCGGCCTTCTGCACCTGAGGCCCCCTCCCCTCCACCACCTGCCGGGGGAAGGGGGGTGCACTCCGGAAGTAAGAGACCCACAGTGTTGCACCCGCCTTTCCATGTGCGGGTGTCGCTCGTTTAAGGGGGGGAGGGTTGCACACGAGCCGGTTGGCCGCCGCTGTAACAAATGAAATAGGAAATGACCCGCTCTCACAATAACAATAACAGCAGTGCTCACCTTATCCACAAGCGCCAGCGGACACTCGATACGGATATTGTACGACGGAACCAAGTACGGCAGCGCCTTATCGCCGTACACTTCGTTGGTGAGGATGACTTCGTTCTCGTACGTTAAAAGGACGTCGCCCACCTTTTGTTTGTAAAACACATCCGAAGCCTCTCGGGCGTCTCTGGGCTGTACGACGACGTTCCCAAACACCTTAGTCACGTAGTTGAGGGCAGCTTCGTGGCCGTGCCGCATCTTAGCGCCCCACAGCGCCAAAAAGATCCACCTGTACGTATGTATGTATGTATGCACGTAAGTACGAATAAAAAATACGAGGATCCACCGGGTGAGATAGAGAGATAGTCAAGGTGGACCAGACATCTCAGGCAGCTCTTAGGCTCACAACACACCCTCGGATCGTACCAATGTTCCCAAGACCGTAAAAAAGCTCCCAAACCTAACCTCGCAGCCAGCAGTAAAACTGGTACATCGCACATACATACATACATACGTTATCCAAAGGCAGTTAAGGCCTCATATGCGGCCCGTAGGGCCGTTTGACCGGGGCCTGTCGCGCGGTCAGAAAAAACTTTGGGTTGCAGTAAAACAGGCGTCCTAAACGTTCCCAAAAGACCACAAAACTGCGGTTGCCGACGTCTGGTCAAGACTCAAGAGACGGTTGGATAGGTAGTTGGTGGTTGGGAGGTGGTTGGACAGTGGGAAGAAAATCCAAAGATAGAACTCCACCTCCGTCTCAGCACGTTTCCGACATACCTACCTACCTACCTACCTGCATATACACACACATGCACACATAGACCGACACGTCATACACGTGTATTCCCCCACCCCGCCCCCGACACCCCACCTGGCCACACCGGCGGTCTTGGGGTTCGCCAGCACCACCTCCACGTCGGGTCGAGTCAGGTCGTCCCATGTACGAATGTTCTTGGGGTTGCCCTGAAACCCAAACCAGTCCAGGGAGGGAGGGTAAGGAATGCGTTTTCACGTTTTGTGGAGTCAAATTCAACGTGGCCAAAATTGGCAAAAAAACCCAGCCTTAAGCGAGTCCAGGGAGGCTATTGGGGGGTACGGGAACTACAGCCGAGCATCATCACCACACCGCACTCAACCCGCCATCTTCCACGACCCCTCCCCACCAGGCTCCCCCCCCCTTTACCACCAGGAGGCCCCCCTCACGGCCCCCCTCACGGCCCCCCTCACGCCCCCCCTCACGGCCCCCCTCACGGCCCCCCTCACGGCCCCCCTCACGCCCCCCTCACGGCCCCCCTCACGCCCCCCTCACGCCCCCCCTCACGGCCCCCCTCACGCCCCCCTCACGGCCCCCCTCACGCCCCCCTCACGCCCCCCCTCACGGCCCCCCTCACGGCCCCCCTCACGGCCCCCCTCACGACGAGGGCCCCCTCCCCTACCACCAGGCGTCCCATCCCCCCTACCACCAGGCGTCCCATCCCCCCTACCACCACGAAGCTGAGGGGTCTCCCCTCCGAGGACTACACAGCCAGAGGTCCTCCGCCCTGGAAGAACATCCTTACAGAGTTCCAGGCGCCTCCATTTCCAACCACCAACCGCCCAACTACCCACCTGCCGTACGACAAACGCAACGGTGGTTTCGCACACAATTGAGTTGCACGGGTAGCGGTTCCTCCAATCCGGGTGGATGATCCCCGCCGCCACGATCTTATCAAGATCCAGCGGCAGCGCGAGCGCCACAATGTCAGCTGGGAGGCCGTCAATAACCGCGCGGGCCTGCGGGACAAGAGGAAAACGTGGCGGGAAACTACACGTTTTGAACAACCTTGATGTGTACCTTGATGTATACCTTGATGTATATGATATTCATCGCAAGCAAGTGCTGCACAGTGCACCACTTCCCATAGTGCTTGTGTGCCGCGGGGAACAGAAGCTCAACGAAAATGCCGCAGCTGCCGCGGGGTCGTCCCGAGTCACGGTGTGGCCGTAAGGAATGGCATGTAACTATCGACGTGGAATATGTCTTAACAGCAAAGAAGCTGTCAACCGAGAGCGAGGAGAAGGGAAGTGGGAGGAGGAGAACGCGCGGACAGGAAAAGCCCCGCGGGGTGGAGTGGGGGCCGAGGGCGAGGGGGGGGGGAAAAGGGGGAAAAGTGAACGAGGCGGCCGGCAGGTGCTTACCTGCACTCCGCTCGCCGCGAACGTGAGCCGGAATCGCACATCCACTCCCGCCTCCAGCATGTAAAGCTCCCGAAAAGCTTTAGTCACGCGGACATATGCGAGTTTGGTGACGGCAAACGATGCCAACGTGAGAACTACCTCTTGAGGGGACTGCACGGCCAAGCTGTAGAGGGGATTAGGCATGGGGCCACCGCTTCCGCCGTCGCCGCCGTCTGCTGGAGGTGGTTGACAAGGCAGTAAAGCTGCCGAGGTTGCGAGATGGACTGGATTCAGGAGTCCGCGCTGGTCATGCTTCCCGGAAGCGCTGGCGTTGACCGCCGTGCCAGGGTTCCCAAGCAAGCTGGTAAATGTGGTGAGCGGGGACCACCTGCTTGGAATGAAGTGGATCGCCAGGTTGGTGCAAGACCAGGTTGGTGCACATTGCATGGCGAAACGGAAGCTCAAGACACTGTACCCTACATTCGCCATGTGCGAAAATCCGGGATAAGTCTTGATGACAGTATATTTCCACCTACGGATGGACAGCGATGGGGCTTTTTGTGTGACTGTCTCTATCAAAGTGGAAATCGGCGGCCAGTCACATTCTAGTCCTACCTGCCTCTGGGGGCCTTCCATGCCATGTTACGGTGTTAGGAATGGCAGACATATTAACCTATGCTTGTCAACGCCGCGTTGCTTTTCAATTATAATGCTTGACTAAAGCAATGAGATGTTACCAGCATGTCGCATCACGCATGAAGATAAGCAGGACATGTGTCAAAAGCGATATGAATTTTGGTAAGACTTCAAACTAGATTAACAAAAAACGGCCTCGCCGTACCTGACCAGGCCTCAGCCGTACAAGTGTTGCATGTACACGCCAGCTGTCACTACGGTCCGTTATCCATTGCTAAATGTCAACTTCGGTGATGTGGTTTGAGAAGACTGCAAGGCTTCATACAGAACTGGCGGTAAGTGTGCTGGAGATAATGGACAGCTAGAAGTAGCATTCCAAGAGTTGAAATTGCTAAATCTGCTGAAGCTAAAACGATTTAAATTTATGTCAAGGTACATTGGTCTTGGACGAACTTGCATGATCATTTGGAAGCTGTCTATATTTACACACATGCACACACACAATTGATAGTAGCTATGTGGAAGTGAATGTCCACAGGTGATGCAAGGCTTGCCAAGCTAAGGTCCTCCCCCTTGAGAAGTGCTGCTGGGCGTCACAGGGCCGATGACTGACTCACAGGGTGTTTCCACTGAAAAGTCTGTTTGTTAGCCGCGAAAAAGTTATTGGCGCGCTAACAAACCCTAACAAAATGGTGTTTCCACTAGTAGCCCCGAAACCATCTTTTAGCACGTCATTTAGCGCCAAAACACCCTAATTCGAGGACAATATTGTAGTCAGTAAAGGAGAAATGAGGGCATATTGCCAGAAGGAATCGGCGAGGGCGACTGGTTCTGCGACATTTTCGGTTCGGTCAACGACGCAGGCCGGCAAGCAGTCAGGGTTGTAGACTGAAAGTGTACAGAAGACCGGGTGCAAGTAGATTTCAAAAAGGAGCTCACAAAATTTTCGCGCTCAAAGTTATCGGACCTTATTGGCTGGTCCGGGGGTCCTATAACTTTTATGGACTTACTGGACCGCTAACAAGGCCCCTGTTTCCACATGGGCCCTACGTTCTTCGCCGTTCCTTCGCCTCCCAACATTCCCTTTTCATTTCTATCAAACATTTATATAGAATAAGCGATATTGCAAAAGAAAGTGAGCAAAGGCGAGGTGCCGGGTGAGAATTTTCAAAAACGTCGCTAACAAACTTCTCAGTGGAAACACCCTGTCAGCGGTTGTTGGGGTCGTGGGTTCTACGGAACATTGGTAGGGGGCCCGCGCCTTGACACCTCACGATTCATCCGGGCCTTCCCTGGCCTACGTGTGGAATACCTCGTTGCTTTGGTGTGGCCGCAGCAGCCAGCCACATGCCGTCACATGCTGAATCTACGTCTTCTATTACTCGCACCGCCGCGACTTGTAACTTCTTTTCCGAACATGCGAAAGCCATGCGGCAGCAGCACATGCCAGCACACTTGTAAGCTTGTAAGTCGACCACACATAAAAGTGTCGGCGGCAATATCTGCAGCGGTGCCCTGTTATGGCTCTTACACCCGAAGGAAAAGGCATGGCAGCGTTGCCGCAAGATTTCCAGATCTTTCCAGAGAATGCAATTCCCTACCGCAATGTGACGGTTGGGCTTTATCTGCTGCCTTTTGAGGACGGATCTTATTAAAGATGCTAAGGAAACGTTAAATATACTTGTCAACGTTTTTACTACGGGATGTGCTCAATAGCTCGAAAGGCTGTTATGTTATTATTCTAGCCAAGCAGGCGGAGCGCGTAGCTCGGCATAACAGATTTAAGCGCAAAAACTTGTAGATACTACGTATTCTGTGATGGCGCCCAAGCAAAAAGAACAAAGGCTGAACCTTCAACAATTTCTATGCAGTGTCGGCATGTATGGCACATACATATACAGGTCTCGCTAAAGGAAGCAACGCCTTGCTTACATGACCTCAGAAGTGCAATGCTTCTTCGTACAAGCGGAGGTCGATAGAGTCACAATGACGAGCAACGTCTATCTACAGCTCTTTTTTATTCTGGATAGCATTGTGCCAGGTCAAGAGGATGTTTTTTGTGCCATGTCAGGAGTTATCCGTTGTGCTGTCGCGCATGTTACTTTGGCTAACAGAGGCTGAAAGGCACACCATCGTAACGAAAACTTCCATTAATGCAGCAGGACCATGCAGGGACACAAAACATTAGTGTAAAATATATATATTGCCCTTTGAATCACTACTTAAATTCTTGCAACTACTAGACGAATGGACCCCCTGCACTTCCCACAACGTGGCATTTTGATATCCCGCTCTCGCCACTGGATGGAAGATTTAAGAAATCTTAAAATTCCATGTCAGTAGCAAGAATTATTGTACTGCTAGGTATGAGAGGCTGAAAACATGCTGAACGAGGCGCAGTCGTCGTTCATCAGTGGGCCCACTTACAAGATGCGTATTATCCTGATAAACATCTACGCCGTGGTTATAATTCAAATTTTATCATGTACAGCAACGACCAGGTGGGCGATTAAAATACTGCACGCAACACCAAAGTGCAAGCAGCTTGGCTTTACCCACAGTTCGGAATAGCACGGAATATTTCTCAAGTAATATAACATGTGAAGTATAACAGAATTTTGTCAGAAAAATAACAATCCCAGACGCCGGAGGTTCTGTTCCCTTCCATTCCTACAGGGCAACGGTCATCGATTTGTCGTCAGATCATTCCAACGCGCCGCCCTCACCCAACCAGGTGCGCCAGCGCGCCATGCAACGCCTCCTTAGTTACAGACTTATACAATGAACAGATCGCAACTCTCTCCTCACTAATTGTTTTTTACCACGCGCAACAGGCTCACCGCAACTTGGTCACGGTGTCCTGCGGCTTGAGACCAAGTCTGCCGACGTATGAATTCCTTGCGCGCGAACAGCGATTTCCTCTGCGATCCGCCGTACATCTGACCCGGTACTCCGAGGAGCCCACGGAATTACTTCTTGAAAAGTTTTCGGAACCTTGGAACACGTCACATCTAACATCGATGTCGTCGGCGTCATCGGCATCAACGGCATCAGGGGGAGCAGCAGCAGTCGATGAGGGCTCAGCTGATGCCGTCGCAACCTTGACGGTGCTTGGTCTCGCGGAGATGGCGGCCCTGCCACTGGTAAGGGGTAAGGAAGCCAGGTCACCTCTCACCGCCCTTGCCCATTGCAGCGCGCTGCCCTTTCCTTTGCCCAGCACTGCCCACAACAACACCTTCGTTGTTGCTACGCTGGCGTCCTTCGCAAAGGAGCCGTCTGGGTGCTTCATGATGCTTCAGATGCAATCGTGGCTTTACCGTCCATGTATAAATATTATTGGTGGTTGGAAATGCAATTACAGATGATTGGCATCAAAGTTGCCCCTTCGCTCATGATGGCCGTACATTTCGTACGGCTGTACAACACTTGTCAAAACTGCTGTTGTTACAGCATGCCCCAAGCCCCTGGCCACGCTACTCCCCGACTGCGCCGCTCGGCTTCCATGTGCCGCCCCACTGCAGCTTCGCGCGCACGCTGCCGGCAACTTTAGCTGGCTTGGGCAGGTGGACTCGGACGTAGCTGCCGGGCGACATCCCCTGTCGCGTGATATGCTGCTGCCGCGGCCGGGCCAGCCGGGGGGTCCCGCCGCTGTCCCCCTGCTGCTGCTGTATCGGCGGGACTGGTGGCGGGCGCTGGTGGCGGCGGCGGCGGCAGCCGGCGGCGGCGGAAATGGGGTCGAGGCCCTGTCAGCGGCGGAGGAGGTGGAGGCGCTGCCGCCGACGTGGCCGCTGCTGGTGCAGCTGGTTTCGGGGCTTCTTAATCGGGATCTGGACGGGGACGGCCGAGAGGACCACGTGCTGTGTATGGACCTGATGCCGGGTGGGTGAGGTGGGGGCGGGGGGGGGAAGGGGGGTCGTGGCTGGAAGAAGAGCACCTAGAGGCCAGGGCGAGGGTAGCAGGGTGCGGGGCCAGGTTGATCTCTCCCTAAGTCATCCCTATCCTATAACCTTTACTCAGCAATATTCATAAATCGCGGGCCTATAAGACACACCCTTCTGTATTTCCTGATAAAATTTTCTGCCAGTTTCCTAAGTTATCACGATGCCTGGTTCTAAGGAATAACGCTCTTCGCAGGCGACGAGTTGTCACGCGTGCTCTGCGCAGCACCTTGCACGATGTTTTACTAATCCCGGAGCCGGGTTCGCGTCACGCCATCCGAGGGCCATGAGCTCATGCATGGATGTGAAGCCTCCCTAATTCTTTGCAATACTTGCATTCTAACGAGCGCTCGTTCAGGTTGCAAGGGCTGGGCGGTTCTGTCCGCCATCATGGCGTCTCTGGTGCAGACCAACGGCACGGAGCAGGGCGTGTGGTTCGACCTGAATGACTTCACACCGGCGCTGGGTGAGGCAGGGCAGTCCAGGGAGGAGGGAGGGGAGATAGGGGGGAGGGGAGGTAGGGGGTAGGGGAGAGGGGAGAGAGGGGAGAGGAGAGGAAGAGGAGAGGTGAGGGAGGGGATGGCGGGCAAGGGAGCGGATGGCGGGCAAGGGAGCGGATGGCGGGCAAGGGAGGGCAGAAGGATGCAGGGCAGGGAGGGAGTGGAGCGAGGGCAGGATGGGCAGGCAGGGGCCTGCGGGAGTTTGTACAC